CTAAGTACTTCCTATCATACCTGAAGCAAAAATTAGGAAGCATCTGTCTTGTGCTCAGTACAACAAATGTCAAACCCCACACTCGAGATCCCACCACCCACTGAGATCTGGCAGTGTCATGCTCTCCACAAGCAAGCAAGCCAACCACAGGGCCATAGAGACCACAGATGCTTTGAGTTTTTAGGTGCACTACCAAGGTGCTCCCACCTAATACTGTGTCATCAGACTCTCTTAAGTCTCATGAAATTTGAAAAATATTTGTTAATAAAATGTGAAAACATCACTTAGAAGCAACTACAAAGGGTAGATTGATTTTAGAGAATTACAAACATAAACACCCATTTTATTTAGACGTAAATAACTCCATGTGATGTACCTGATGTCTGGTTGCTTCTTCATTAAACATCTTCGGGGTGCATCAGACCTCCCAGGAAATCAACACTCCCACTTTCCCTGAAACTGTGCAGACTTACATGCTTCCAGTCAGTGTGCAAATATGTCCCTCACAGGTTACTCATGGTGATGGTTCTGGTCCTTAAAGAAACTACAAGGCCTAAAGCAAATGTGTTCAAGATACCTTCCCAGGTGACAGAAGCAAGAAGAGACAAAAATGTTTGCCTGTTTCAAATTTGGGTTATTTCTCAGATATAGTACAACTGTGTCTCTGAGTCAGGGTCTTTTATTAACCCAGAACAAGCCAAGCAGTCTTGGTGAGCTGGCCCGAGTTGCCAGGGATCCATCCACCTGTGTGTTTCCTGGTCCTGAGATAACAACCAAGATACCAGATCCAGCTTAGTTTGTAACCATGGGTCTGGGACTTGAACTTATATCCTTAAGCTTGCAATGCAAGTCTTTTACTAACTGGCCAAGCTATCTCACCAGGATTTATACCTCTTCCTTGCAAAAGGAAAAACAAAACAGTTAAAAAAAAAACAAACAAAAAAAAACAAAAAAAAACCTTGTGTCTGATTTCTGTCTGATTTCTGTTCTGTGCCTGCTTATTTTCAAGTTGTCTTAATGCCATTTAAATAGAATAATTACCTCTTTCAGGGCACATACTCAATATGCCTGTCTATTTCAAAAATGTACATCACCTGAGAGATTATCTTAATCCAGGTATTGAGTCCACACAGCCTGTGCTTAATTCCTGAGCTCAAAGGCAACTGTATTGCCCGAAGCATTACTGACACGAATCCAGAGCTCTTCAGTGTTTGTCTGTATGTCATCTAGAAAAAGCAAAATTCTGGACTTGAAATAGTCATATTTTTATAGTATCAAGCACAGCTGACATTTCCTTCTACACTCCATATATATAACATTTTGTAAGATTTAACTAATACAATAGAACCTTTGACTCTCAGACAAGAGAGATCTATTCAAACAAGTCTGGTGGTGGCCTTGTCCTGGACTTTTCTGAGGAAGCTGGCCATCACACCTCCCAATCAATGTCCCACTTTGATTACAGCAGTGGGAGAAATAAATGAGAGATGCCTGCACGTAGACATGGATATTTTCTACAAGTGCATACTATAAGTAATATGTAGTGTTCGCAGTTGCTTGGCTGAAAAATGAACGTTCGATTTAGACCAGTCAAAGCCATCATGGATCCCCAGATACTGTCTTCAGTTGAGGTGCCAATTCAGAGACCTTCACTGTCAAGGAATTCCATGCTAGCTGAGATGCCATGAGCCTCGTGGTTAGCCAGCTGGAACGTGCTTACCCCTTCCACATCCCTGCTCACCACCAGGCTACAAAGGGCATCTGTCACCTTGTTCACCACTGCTGCTCAGAGCTTTTGCTGAAGATGACATAGAAGGTCTCTGAGAGATTCCAGTGATGCAATATGTCCAAGGTGAAGGAAAGAAACCATTTCCCTAGGCAGCTCCTTGCAGTAAAGCATGAACAGACTGACTCTTGTTGGCAAAGCTTTGCACACCAAACTAGACCCTGTGAGCCTTGCCTGTGTACAGGATTTCTCTTATGTCTTTAAAACCTGAATGCCTCACATCTCCAAAGTGCCAGAGTGTAAAGTGGTATAATACCAGGCAAAATGTTCTACTGTTTTGGTTTTGGTTTTATTTATTTATTTATTTAGTTAGTTAGTTTTAGAAAGGGAACTTTAAGGGCCAACAACATGGTTCTGTGGCTAATGGCACTTGTTGCCAAGCCTGAGGGCTAAGACTGACTAGCACCTACCTGATAGAAACAGAGAACTGACTTCTAGGAATTCACCCTCTGACCTACACATAAACACATGTCCTCAAGTGCACATGCACACAACAAATAAATATAAGAATGAGACAAGTAGCTTTATTCTCTCAGAGGCCAGTGTCCTCTGCTAACATTGTTGCTTGAGAAGAGAGAAAGTCAGCTAGAACCGAAACGCAATTATTTATGGACAGCCACTGTCCATCAAACCTATGTATTCTTCTTACTGGAAGACAAGTTTGCTGCTTATTCTTTTCGAGTATTGACAGGGAGAAACACTTTTTGTAAACTTTCCAGGTTCTGACTCTAATAATTTGTTCAAATACCTTGAAAGTCATTTGCTGGCTAATACTTTAAAGCTAAAGCACAGGAGAATGGAGTTTAGCCAATGACTTGGCTACAGTGTGAAAACTGCAAGAGGCTTTCTCCATTGACCCTCCCTCTCTCTTCTCTCTCTCCTTCCTCCCTCTTCCTCTTCCTTCTCCCTCTTCCCTTCCCCTCCTCTCTCTCCACCTCTCTCTCCCTCTTATTCTCATTTCTCTTGCTCCCTCATTTCTTCCTTCCTCTGTTTCTCTCTCTTCATCTAATTATTTTCACGTCCCATAGTCAATAAAAAGTTACATAAAACTGACCGAGATAATCAGAGGGGCACTTTTCAGGACTGGAGGAGATCCAGTAAATGCTGTGAACCTGACAATCATCACCCTGACATCCCCGAAAGTTCTAATCTATTAGGTGAAATGATCATTGGCAAGCCAAGCAATCATTCAGCGCGTTCCTGCTTTCATATCTTGAAAAAGTATGCAGGACCACTCCTCCCCTTCCCCATCCTCCCCTCCCCCAGCCAGAAGCAGCAGACAAATAAGTTAGTCTCACACCTTCCTTCCTCTGCCTGGGATAAAAGGGCCTCAGAAACAAGGCTGCCATTGTTCTTTGACTTCTGAGGTGGTGAGAAACAACATTCCTGGGCACTGCCTAATCTTTGCTCCTGACCCCCCAAATTCATCTATCCCCAAAGGCAATCTTCTATTGTACCCTCTGCACCTATGAACAATGATTCATAATTGCAACTGTCACACACAGTCATCAGGCAAAGAAATTCAGTGCTGTTTTCCCTACTTCTCTGGGAAACCTGAGCCAAACACCTAATAACCATGCCCCAGCAAAAGAAAGACATACAGTTGCTTTCAAAGTGCTTCTGGAAACAGCTTTTTGGAACAGAACCGGAGGACAATAACTGGACTTGGGCTCCTAATGTGAAGCTTGAAAGACTCAAAATTAAAGACAGAAACTTCTTTTGTGGTTTTACTAGAGCATCCTAAAGTAGCCCCAGGCTAGCCTCAAAGAGGAGTACAGAGCCTCCATCCCCTAAGCATCACTAACATTGAGACTTTCAAGTCTGACTTGTGAAGGAAGAGGAGGGAGGATCACAAGGCTTGGGGCAGGCAGGCAGTCCTCTCTGCTCCACTCCTGGTGATGGCTGAGGTCAGTGTAGGAAAACAAGAGGCAGTCACTATACATCCTTAGCCTCAGGGATCACAGGTTAAAAGTCCACCAAAAAGCTGGAGAGCTTGATGTCCCAGAAAGTGGAGCTTTTCTCTGTGTTCTCCTTAAGTTATGCCAAGCTCTGAAGTGTGCTAATTATTCATTTCAATTTTCTTCCAAAATTGATGCTGGTCAATAAACTTGTTGATGGATTCTCACTCATTCTCCCTACCTGTCCACAAGCCTCCAAAGCCAGAGTGTGGGCAACATCAAGTGACTGAAAAATGTGTGAGGCCATCAGTCAAATGTTTTCTAGAACTTTCCAAACAGCCAATAAAAATGGTCTCTACTAGGAGAAATAGTTGAAAAGGCAAATGCTTTGCTTTTCTCTAGAATACATGTATGGGACAGAACCTTAAGGCTGAGACTGCCTCTGATTCAGACACCACAAAGTTGTTTACACATGTGTCTACATATACACTAATATTTACCTGAAGATGCTTGAAGTTTACCTTTAGCACCTATTAGGGATAAATACTACAGTTTATAAGCAAATATGATAATCGTTGATGACCTGCTATCTTGACATCCCCAAATTAATATCGCTTTAGAATTTAGAATCACCAGTATCCTGGTGGCAGCAACAGGGAGCTGTACACTGCCCACTGTCTTCTGAGAAGTGGTGGTTTAAAACTAATTGAAAGGATAATCTGCTTCTATTTCTACATGAAAAAATTAAGTCTCCTCCCTTGTACTGGAAGTTTGTTTTGATATGATTATTCAATGTCTTCTGAAGTCCACAGAGAACTTTTATTAGTCGCAATTGCTGATTCAAATAAGCTCAAAACAGAAACATCTCTGACACTGACTTGAAACGTCTTTGTACTATGTCTTCCTTGCTGATCTTTAGTGGCCCCAGATGTCCATCATACCTCTGCAGACTTCAGACACAGAATGTGAATTATAATTTACTAGGCACTGTTTCTAACCTCGATGTGCTGTTGATATGTCCTTATCTTTGAGGTAAATCATTTAAGGCAAATAAGAGGAAGAGAAGCAGAACATGCCACAGACAGAGTGGGTTTGTGCTGTTAAGAAAACAACAACAACAACAACAAAACCCCATCCTTGATTCTATACAGTGCAAGCAGAACACACAGACAGACATGATCTATTTCTAGGAAGAAGAGAAGTCTGTCCCAGGGCATGCGTGGAGCAAAGGGGCTGGGAACAATCCATAACCACTATTTATCAATAGTAATTCCATTTCTGAACAATCTGGATAAAAGCAGGCATGCACTTCTTACCTTTTATTTCTCCAAAGTTCCCTGATCCCATTGCCAGGAGCTTGTCTTTCCAGTCCTTGGAGAGTAGCTTTTCAATACTGGGAGTGTCTAAGTAAAAAAAAAAAAAAAAACACTTATAAGCAAAGCAGCGTGAATATTTGCAGCATGCTCATAGAAGCCTATCTGCTAAGAATAGGCCATCCTGGTCCTGGCCTCAGCTCATAATGACTTCATCAACAAATTGATAACAGGGGAGGGAAAAAAAGGAGTGTGTTTGGTCACCTGCTGTTTCAAAATCATTAGCTTTTCCCCCTTCCAGAACAAAGCCACACTAATTCTTTATGACAATGGGCTCATGCAAACCTACAGCTCATTGTTTTACAATTTGGTGAACAAATTCTTGCTATAATGGATGCTTGTCAATTTCTGAGTGTTAGTCTGCAGTCAGAAAATAATTATGTTGATAAAATGCAGAGTGAAAAAAAAAAGGCAAAGAATTAGCCCTTAAATCTGCTACATGTAATTACGTCCCTCTGTGTGTTTACAATTCCATGCACTTTATAATATGTGGAACGTTGTGTGGCGGTAACTACGCTTCGGCAAGATTTGTGAGCACACATTGAACACTGAAAAAAATAAATAAAAAACAAACAAACCAAAAAAAAAAGAGGTTGACATAAAGAAGCTTTTGAAAGATTGCAAAATCGGTGAACAAAGTAACATCTCTAATGCAAATGCATTATTTGCCTATTTCAGACATGTATTGTGTCTTTTTGTCGAGTGTTCCGTGTTGGGACAGGATGGACGCATTTTAGAAAGCAAGATCATGAGTCATGGAGCTTGGTTTGTTTTTGTGGGTACCTCATCTCTGTCCTCCCCTTTTGAACTGAACCTGAACTATAAGTAAACATGACTGCAATGAAATCAGTGAACATTAGACTCAGTTCCAGACAATGGTTTGTATGCTCATGTCACTGTCGAGCTGGGTATACAATGACAATGCATTTCAATTCCACAGCTAGCCTACCATAAGTTAGAGAACAGAGTGCTCCTCTTACTGAAGGTAAATGTACCCCCCCCATGCCGTCTCTAAAGAACAGCACCACACCTATTATCTAGGGCTTCAGACAGGCAGTGTCTTCTCCACATTAGTGTTTATGTGTGCTTCTATTTGCTTAGATGATTATTTACCCCCTAGAAGTGACAGAAAGGGAGGACTTGTTAACTCATCAGAGATCATCTGTCCTAGGGGGTTTCTGCTAAACTGAGGTTAAGAGTGGAGTATGCCTAAGATGTCAAAAAAAAAACCTGTTTGGTTGACATTTAAATATCACTTACATATATTTACATATATTCAAATATTGACGGTGTCAGGTATTATTTTACATTGCATCCATGTATGTGCACATGTGAGCAGGTTCCATTCATGATGTGTGCTTGTAACATATGTTTCTCTCTGTCCAGAAATACCTATTTCTATTTTTTTATATTGAAGGAAAATCCTAAGGAGCTTACTTGCACACTTTCTTAAAAAGCACCCCCCCTCGTTTTTCTATCTCATATTTTGGAAATGAGGCCAGAGAGCAAAGCTGTGATCAGCCGGAGTACAGACTGGTGGTATCTTCACTGTTCCCACTTGCATCACGATGTTTAAAGTAAGTTGAAAATACTTCTGCATGGAACTTCACTGTGTCTACATTCTCAGTGAGCATTGGGAAAAAAATCAGTTCTTAAACCTTCCTTATCAGAGTTGGTCAAACAAACAGCACTGCATTGTTTCTTTATCCAGAGCTCAAAAAAAAAAAAAAAAAAAAACCCTTGAGTAGCGTGTACACAGGGCATGGCCAATATGGTATTTGTAGGAGGGTTCTGTCAGTCATTAAAAGCTAACAAACCTTTGCAAGGGAGGAATGTGGTGATAGAAATTCACTGTGGACTAACAATGGGCCCGGACCGCCCTGCTCCACAAGCAGATCTTTTTACTTCTAAGGCTATTGTCTGCCAGGTCCTGGCAATGCCTTTCCCTTGCAGCTAGACAAAATATCTACTGTCGCCCGCCTCATAAAGGGACAGAAGTCTTCTGTCTAAGTTGCAGAGTTAAAGAAACAGCAGTCAGATTTGTGGAAGCCACAGAACATTCCTGGCTTTCCTATTAAGGAGCATTAAGGTAGAAAGCCCCCAGAGGGCTGGTTCAAGTTGACTCTTAGCATAAGGAAGGGAAAGAGGGAGAAGGGGAGGGAGGAAAAAGAGAGCATTTGTGAGCATGGAAAATCAGAAATATGTCTAACGTGGGGTTGTCACATCTAGGGATGACTCAGAATACCAACGTCTTTCACTGAGGTGTGAAGTGTGTACCTCCAATTGAAATATATGTACTGAGTGGTCTCAGTCCCAGGGACTGTGCTATTGAATGGCCTCTGTTCTCTTACTTAATTGTCACCTGAAGTCTGAGAAGGTGTAACTACTTCTGTGTTATGAGTTCTAAGAAATACACACACACACACACACACACACACACACACACACACACACAAATCAAGCATAGACCTGTCTGTGGTTTTACAATACATAATGGGAAAGAATAATGCCTTGGGCAGGGTTTTGTTTGTTCCCAACATCCAAAAACACCTAGTGACAAGACAAGAAAGCTTCCATTTTGAAGGCTGATTATTGAGCAACAAAGCAAGCCCCCTCTGTGTGTCGTGACAAATTTCTCATAGTAGGTATGGATTGACACACATCTGCTTTGCTATTTAAAAAAAGATCCCAAAGCGTAGGGAGACACAGTGGCACTCACCCACGATGAAGCTGAGCCAAAACCTTCCAGCCTGATGCTTGAGATGCTTACACGGATTCTCAAACGTGGACAACATACAGACACACACACCCATTTCCTCTATGCAAGAATTCTAGATCACAGAAACCATTGTAAACTCCGTTAGAGTGAAAACTTCAAAGAATAAATTGAATTTTCCAGAATAAAATGTTTGCGTGAGTATCAACTATGGATTAAAAGTCTAGACCTTTTCTTTTACAGTTCTCATTAGCATCAGAACTTAATCTAATTATATGATTTTGCACCTTGTGGAATTGGCCTTGGATTCTTTAAAAAAAAAAAAACCATCATGTGAAGGTGTACAATGAAGCTAGAAGGAATATTAGGCCACGTGTAAAAAAGGATCCAGGTTATCAGCTATCTTATGGCAGCAGCTAGCTATTGGTAAAGGTGGAGTTAGGGGCCTCAGCATTCACATATACGAATTTCTGTCACATAACAGGCTACCAAGTCTACTTGCCACAGTGCATTTCCTGCCATGGTCTCATGTCCTTACAGGTTGCTCCTATAGTGGTGCTTAGAAATGACCTCCAGTCATGAGAAGGTCAAAGCCCTCCACACTGATTAAGCTTCTCAGGAGAGAGTAAGAAAACTCATGACTAGATCATGAAAAACAAAATCACAAGATCCCCATATTTACAATCACCTGTTTCCTCCTGTGAATTTAATAGAGAGATGTCTACCACAGCTCCTTAAGTATCACTCACTATTTATGGTGTGAAAAAAAAGATAGTGACTTACTATGCAATATTTAGCTTTCAAAAAATGAGATTTAGTTTTAAAGATACAGAGTTGAGTTTTTATCCAGTGCGTGTGGCTGGCATCTGTCTGCATTGTTGGGAAGTTATGTTCTGATCTTTTGTCTTCATATTTTAACAACTGGTCTATTTATTTATTTATTATTTATTTATTTATTTATTTATTTTTTGGGGGGGATCAGGATCTTACTAAGTAGACCAGGCTATCCATCAAATTATAGGGATCTTCCTGCTTTGCTTTCCAAGTGTGACCTGGGGTTTATTTCTTAATTTAAACATTTACGACTTTATTGTCCCAAACATTGGAGCTCCATCATTACCCTCAAAACTAAGGAGTTCCTCAAATAAAGTCATTGTAAGAGTCAAGGTGGCTTTAGACAGTGTCTCAGCCTAAGGAATGCTGTCATATCTGAAGCTTTTGACAGTAGTTCATGTAGTTAGCCTGTTCCATGTTATAGTTGGGGAAACCCAGGCTTTGTCCAACATCAAGCTAGCTCAAAGTAAAACAGAGACTATGAAAACCAGGGCTCTTCTTTCAAAGATTTGCCCTTTTAGTAAAAAAACTAAATACATGCCTTATAAAAGATAAAACAAAGATAATGTGGATAAACAAGCTGTGGACCATTAGCTCACCCCAAAAGCACCCATCGCTGGTCCACTGGAGCCTCAGAAGCACCCATGGTCGGTGCACATATTCAGATGAATCTATGGAATCGTTTAAGCCTCTCTCGACCCGTCAGCAGCCAGCAGAAATACTTTTGATTGCTTTTCTCTTCTCTCTGGCATGATCATGTGAGCTTTCTCAGATCACTGCCTACGGCAATCCCCACCAGAGAAGCTCCTGAAGTTGCCAGCCATTGTTATGGCAGCACCCTGCCTCTTTAGGCCCCCTTCATTTCCCCGTAACTCTCACTCCTGTTTTCCCTCCAGTGCCAAACCCTCTTAAGACCCACTCCCTGGGCCAGAACAATGAGACCTGGAGAGCCATGCCAACATATTGTAATTCTCTAGCAAGCTGCCAGTGCCAAGAGTTAAACCACATTCCTGCCAGCGCGGTAGCTTACACACAACCTGAGGTTTGTGCTTTGTGTGTATGTATGTTATTTTTCTGTTTTAATCTTCTTTGAGCTACTGTGGCAGAGAACATTAAGAAATTGAACAAGTAAAACGTGGGTATGCTTGATATTTGACTTTTTAGACTAAAGCCCATGAGTTAGGCCACAGGAAGTCTACCACTGTTTATACTTTAGATTTGTAGCTTCGGCTGAATTGCATCATTCTTGACCTGTGTTAATTCACACATGTAGCAAGGGCATCGTACTACGGAAGGAACAGTCATAGCTAAATTTCAAATATGCCAATTGGTTCTCAAATAAAAAAAAATAAATGCATGTGTAGATAATCCAGAGGCTGAATTTTACAGGTGGTATGGCTTTTTCCTATCATTTAGATAAGTATTTTATTGAAGCAAAAATAAATGGTTAGATATAAGCTGAACATACATAACTGGGTGA